TTAAGAAATAAATTTTGATGTTATCGCATATATTCTAATAAAATTTAAAATTATCAAATCCATCAAAACTGTCAAAACTGTCAAATATATTTTTATCCATAATTTCATATGATCCTGTTTAAATTATATTTATTTATTTATGTACCCATAATCGATATCCATCCAAATCTTTATTTTTATTAATTCAAAATCAAGCAAAGAAAATCAAAGGTCCATCTTTTTCTTTTAGAAAATATATTGAAAAACGTCCATAAATGTTAATTGAAAATCGACAGATGCAACAAGCCCCCTCCCCTTTTCTTGTGAAATCAAACTGTGGTAAAGAAATACAATTTACGCATATATATAACCTAAGTAAATGTTCACATAAATTCGAATAAATGATCTAATATAAAAATTATTATTATTATTTATTTTCTTTAAATTTTCTTTTTTTCTGTTCTAGGAAGTTCCATATTTTTTCTTAACCATACTTAATAATTGTCATGATGCTTTTGAATATCATTTAATTAACAGTGATTGGGTCATAGCTTGATTGATATTGTACTGTTGATTATCATTTAATTTTAACGGTTAGTGGGTCAAAACATAATTGATCCATAACATCATTGATCAGTCAGGATCATTCTATCTTAAGCTTGGTATTATTAATCGAGCATCATTGTAGTTGATTGGACATAATCATTGTAGTTGATTAGACAGAATATTTACAGTAAAAAAAGTCAGTCAAATGTGTTTTTTTTAAATTATATCCAAATGTATTCTTTATTCCTTCCTTTTAACATTACCTCAGATACACTTCTTCCTTATCAGTCATAATCCTAAATTTCAGATATTAACACAAAATATCTGATCAATTATTCATCTTTTTATTATGATGGATTCCATTTCTTTCTTCCCTTTTCTTTGTGTCTATAATAGTATTACATATTTATATACCAAAATTCCAAAACTAAACAATATTCCAATATTATCTAATATATTCTTTCATTATTAACCTTATATATATATATATACAATATTACGCATGCATATACATAAACTTTTTACAATATTTTTTGAACTATCTATAACCCATTCTTGACTTTTAATCCATCTTAACACGTGTTTAATATCTAATTTTACTTATTTTTAATTCTAACTTTCATATCTGTGATTTGCATACTTTTTATTTCATCACATTATTCTTCATATTTAATTTATCAATTGTTCTTTTTCTATATTTCCAAACCATAAAATGTTTCATATCTATAATTTTCATTTCATCATTTTTATAAAAATATCAGTATTATCACAATATTCCTTTTTTTCACATTATATTTCAAAAATTTTTTATTCTCTCTCATTATAGATCCAAAATTTAAATATCAAGCAATCTTTCCTGTCCATTAAGTGAGGCTCTTTTTTGATGGATACCTTTACTCCATTTAATGTTAAGTCTTACAAAATAATACAAAATAAAATTTATTATCAAAACACTACGTTTAAAAGTTAAAATCAAAACATATAATACTAAAAATTATTACTACCCCACCATATCCAATGGTTCCCGCAAAAAAATCTCCAAAAGTAAACTTTTATCCCAGTAATATATAATAGTGCCTCCATTTAATCACCAACTTCTAAAATAAACCTTAAAAAAATAAACCCAAACTAAAAAAATACACTCTTTTTAACCTAAGTTTTACTTTTTATTACTTATTTTAATTAGCTCAATTAAGACAAATGAAGCCTTTTAAACCCATACCTTACTCTCTATATTATCTTTTAACTTGCTAAATACCTAAATATTTATTGTAAAACAACTTTTATAAAAAAATTCTTCTTAAACAAAATCATTTGACTTTCCCAAATTTTTATTATATTTTCCACAATTCAAAATTAACTTTACTTTTATAAATTTATAAAAATTTAATTCTAATAATATTTTTTTATTTAAATTAATTCATTACATATATCTATATTTCTCTTCCTAATCGTAAAGAAGGACTATCAACTATCTCAACAGAATTGGAAAAAGTTAAGTTGTTGGTGAAAAAAGTCCATAAAAGTCCTTATTTGATGTAGGATTTTGTCGTATATTTGCAATTGTAAAATTTCGTTAGATGTGTTGTGTTACCAAATGGAATTCAAAATATCTTATCCTCAACAAAATCAATAAGGTATTAATGGTATATAATATTTAATTTTTTGTTTGATTCTATAGACTATATAAGCTATAATAAAATTGGGCAAACATAGTATTAATGACAATTTTTACATTATAGCGAAGAAGTCAAATTATTAAAAGACTGAAGAATTTTTGTACTCTTTCTACAAAATTACATGTGAAATTAGTGCCAATTCTTCAACTATAGGCATATCTCTATTATATCTTGATAACTGTTGGTATCAAATATCGAAACCAACATTTATACAGTAATTATTGAGATATCACGACTTATGTTGGCAAAATGCCAAAAATATATAAATAATATGGAGTATTTTGAAATATATTTATGTAGTTTTTTAGATCTAGGGATCAAGAAAATTTTCAATATGCATTTTATCGTTAAAATTTTGCAATTTGTAAAATTTTTGATAGAAAAATATCAAATATAGAATTAATAAATCATCTTTATCAGACATTTTGATATTAATATGGAAAATTTAACCATATTTTGAAAATTTAATGGAGATTTGGGATAAGTTTCGTATCTCTCAAGACTCAGGAAAGTTATACAATTCTTAAAAATTTTGAGTAGTATTTTAGGCCAGATTTAATAGTAAATAGCCAAAAATAATAAATGAGCAAAAATATACTAACAAATTAGCAAAATGTCGGTTCGCCTAAAAGACCATAAATAATAGTAAGTAGCCTAATTTAATAATAAATGAGCAAATATAGTCAATTAGAAAATTAATAGTAAATTAGCAAAAGTACTAGCAAAATACCTAAAAGCTCGAAAATGTACCAAATTTAATATAAATGAGCGATTGTTATGGTAAATTGAAAAAAAATTAAGTGCTAAATATTTTGATACTTTTTTAAGCGAAATGACTTAGGCAAAGCGTATCTCATATTAATATATTTATCATTCACACTATATTTTTTTAAATTAGGGGATATCGAAATCAGAAGGTGCTCATTTGTGTCAAAGTAGACATAGAAAAATTCAGAAACTAGGTCTAGAAATCTAATACAGGAGTGATAACTCTAAATTTCCAGAGGCATTAAGAACTGCTTAGACTTTGTTCCATTAGGTGATATGGCTAATGCAACGACATCCATAAGAATGGTTAGTTCTAATATGATACTGATATTCACGACTGTTTTGATAAAAATTATGTCAATGGAGTATTAAGACAAGAGATCGCAAGGGGAAATTTTATAACCCAGACACGTCGAAATGTGGCTAGATGTTCACCGGAAAACTGAAATTTAAATCTGAGTACTCTATTTGATGAATAGCATACTTGCAATGCAACAATCATTTTTCCAATCTAGTTGTCATTAAACATCCATCAATCTAGCTATTGATTAAAAAATAAAATGCTAGAGAAACAAAACTCGAACGATGGAGGATTGGTAGATGGACTCACAGTATAAAAGAACAAACTATAAAAAAAACTTTTCATACTGTGATGGTGTGAAATCTGCCTAATTTTACAAAAGTTATTGCTTTAATATTAGATGCAAATCTATTTGATTATTATTAAATATATCTTATTTCAAAATTTAATTTATTTAATGCCGAATTTGTATGAAACTTGTATTTCTAACCAAATAAATTTAAAATTCAGAAATATTAAGTATAGGAAATATAATTTTTAAGAAAATTAAAAAAATATATCAAGGAAATATTTTATGTATAAAAATAATTTTGGCGATTTTTTTTGCAATTATCAGAGGAAACATGATCTTGTGACATTTAAACATATTTTAAGATTATTTTTATTAAAATAAAATTTTATTTTCTCAAATTTATTTATCTAAAAAGTAGTGAAGGTCATGGTCCGGACCGATAAGGACTTTGACCACAAATAAAAGATCTGTCCAAACCGTGATTCAAATTAAAAATACCAGTCCAGGGTCTATTCTTTAAATTTTGTTATTTTAAAAATATTTTCGCTTTAATTCTTGTTTTATTATTTTGTTAAGTATAAAAGTTCATTATATGAATAATGTAAAATACAAATATTTAATTTAAATGTAATATTCTTTTTTGACAAACTTTTCGTTTTCATATTATATCATTGCAAAATAAAAACAAACTTATAAAAACTAAAGTTACTCCCCTACAAAAATATAAGAATTAAATACAATATTAAAAAAAGACCTGCCTGGACTGAAAAATAATTAAAAAGTGGTCCAGACCGCAGTCCCCCCAAAAAACGCATGATAGGACCGATCTTTGACTTTCACTAATAAGGGCCAAAATTGCGAGATTTAGAACAAATGCTCATAGAAATGTATATTTTAAAATGCAAATCCAAGCTGTAGGAGCTCAAGCTTAATTTTTTATTAGAAAACGGGTGGAGACTAATTTGTTTAGCCGGGTTGGGCGGATTTTTTTTAAAAAAATTTACTTATTTAATAATTTTTTTTAAAAAAATCCGGGTTGGCCCTGACAGCTGCATAACTCTGCTTAAATATTAAACCATTGTTTCTCGCAATGTTTATAAAAGAATAAACAAAATTATGTTTTCCTCTTTTTTTCCTTACTCCTTTCCTTCACAAATTTAATATTCAAATTGATTTAGTTTTTAATTAATAAACAGGAGGTAAAAATGGGACTTATTATACTTGGTACGTTTATCATATGATCCAAATTTTATATTAGATTTTTTTGTATTTACGGTCCTGAAACAAGTTCACAAATCAAATATTAATTAAAATAGTGCTGCTACTCACTCGTCAATTAACGTTTCCTCTAAATTTTATGTATTTCATAAAACCGCCGTTGTTAAAAATAAGGCAAAGTTTTATTTCATAAAAAATATATATTTATTATGCCCAGTACAATAAATTTCTATTTAAAAAACAAGGGATAATTGACTATAATAAAATGTTTAAAATCCATAAATAAGTCAAAATTTGAGGGAAGAGGGGGGGGGGGGATATGAATAATATGTGTAAGTAAAATAAGGTATAACGCAAGATTTAACAAGCATACTGGATAAAATGATATCTAAAAAAATGGACCGTTTTGCAATAAAGAAAAACAAAAGAAAATAACAATATTGTATATTTATAATATAGATACAAAATTAAAATACCAACTTAAAAATATTTAATGGATATTTCTAAAGTTTACATTGTATAATACAGTAAATTATTCGAACATCTAAAAATAAGATTATTCAATCAATTACAGATGACAGTGACGCGGTTAGTTAAAAAAAACTTTTTCTAATTTTGATTGGTTTAAATTTTTTATTAATAATAATATCTACAATTTATATAATATATTTTTTTAAATGATATTTTTGTTTATAAAAAAATGGATCGTTTTATCTTTTAAAAAAAATAGGATCATTGGTAGGCGGAAACAAAAATTTCCAAGATCTTCTTTTTTTTTAAAAAATTAATCTATATAAAAAAAATATATAACAAATATTTCAGTTTATATTCCTTTTTATAATGCAAACTAACTATTGTTATTTGTTTGATGTGTATAACGGATAAAAAACAAACGAAAATGTTAAAATATTCAAAACAAAAGATGCTCGTATAGCGCCACTAAGAGCATCAAGCCGACCCCGACGATTATCCCTAGGTTTTGACAGAATAGTGACCAGGCTTGAGATCCAACCTTGATTTCCCTAAGTTCCGGCAGCTAATTTTTTTTAAAAAAATATTTAGAATGATGTGTATAGTATTTTTTAGTTACAAATATTAAGGGAGTTGAGAAATTTATTAGATTAAATAGGTTTTTTAAGTCCATATAATAATGCGATATCATAATCCTTTCGCATCATCGAAATAGGAAAATTTTTAAGAAAAAAATAGGAAACACTTGAAATGACTGAGTTTAAAACCAAATTATTTCGTTTCAATCACATAATATTATTTATTCCTGGGACATCTATACCACTCATTTTACCTAATAAATAAGTTAACTTTATGAAAGATTGTGGCTTATTAATTAATTATGATGGCAAAAACAAAAATAAGGATAAAAAAACTAAAAATTGAAAAGCTTTAATATGTAGTCTTCATTTTTATCGATCAACACCGACCAATAAATCAATTATATGCTATAGAAAGAAATAGGAATATAGATTCTTTAATAGAAACAGTAGGGTTGGCATAATGAAATCAATTTTTTTCGAAATGAATTTTATAAAAACATTTAACTACATATTGCATAAAGTTTTAAATAATTGATATTTTTTGTTAATATAAATCATTTCATATATTATGTTATATTTTTTTGGCAAATAAACTTTTATAGAAATCATTTTAATATTCTTAAAATTAAAGGAAATATCAAGTATTTTTATTTATTGCTGCCCTATTTAATTATAAATTAATATCAGACCTGCAGGTCCGGCCCTAAATTTTTTTAAATATACCTGGGCAGGGCCTAAAATTAAAAAAAAATACCCAGGCAAGGTCGAATATTTTAAAACCAAATATTAAATCGCCAATTTTAAAAAAATCTGGGCAAGGCCAGGTATAATTTTTTAAAAAAATAGGGCATTTGTAGTGATTTTAAGACAGTAGTAGATATAATTAAAGATATTTATTTAAGTGGTAATAAAATAATGTTTATTACAATTTATAAGTGTGTATATATATATATATATCCCTCGGTAAAAGTTAATTGGAAAAAAAATATTTGAATATTATTTCAACAAGAAAATAAATTATCGATACTTTAAATATTTAATTTATAGCCGCAAAACAATATACAAACAGATAATATAATATTATAAATAAAGGATCAAACATGATAAAATACTTTTTTAGTCAACATTGCTAATTTACAATGAACTATTTATTCATAAATTACACAGGAAAATAGATATATTGTAATAAAATAAATACATGTTCCATTAATAACTTTGCATCATGAGTTAACTTTCTCCAAAGCATAATTTTTTAAAATAATGTTTATTTTATAAAAAATTGTCTAAATAAAAAAAGCAATTTAATCAAATAAATCGATTTTTGCCACCCTAACTGCCAAACTCTAAAAAGTAAGAATAATCCTAAAGTCCCTATTCAACAAAACCTTTTAATCCATTTAAGCGTGAATTAGCAAATCTGATGGAACATGATGTTGTCGAGTGTATAAGTAAATATTATATAAAAACCATATCAACAAGTGAAACGTAAAGGAACATTCCAGCGGTCATAGCGAATATCCATTTTCGGGCCTCTATCGACGACGCGATCGATAGCGAGAGGTAAAGTCCGAAAAAGCTGGTGCAAGCTGCGAATAAGTTGACCACGAGGGCCATCTTGAAAGACATTCCCGTCGAAACCAGAACGGCAAAGTCTCCTTTAATTTTTTTATTACAATTTATTTATCATGTCTTCCACCGACTGTTCATTGTATTGTAAAAAACAGTGCTGTAAACATGTTACATCAAACAAGAAAAGCGTTACTAGCTACGTTTAAAAAAGGAACGAATTACCGTTACTCGTTACCTTGCATAAAAAGAAAGGCACTACTCGCCATTTAAAAAAAGTAACACGTTATCGTTTAACAAAAAATCTGAAGAATGCTCAATTCAAAATTAAGAACAAAATTTAAGACAAGTTTAACATTAGTACTTTTTTTTAAAGTCTACTAACCTAATTCGTGGGGTAGTTCGTGGCAAAACACGGCGAAAGACGTAGAAAGGCCTTCCTTGATGGAAGAGGAGAAAGCAGCTCCTATGGCGATGCCGTCCACGATGTTGTGAGCTATATCACCGACTATAAGGAATATGGAAAGGCTTTGAAGACCTGAATTGTATTATTTTAGGAATTTATTTTAAATAATCTTTAACCTTTCTTTTTGTAGTTGTGGCATTTTGCTTATATGCGCAAAGTTGTTAGAGAGGTATTACATGTAGTTATACACCCAGAATGTTACTATTTTATAGTGTTGTTAAACGGCTCATTTTGAGCCAATTTTTAAAAACGGCTTACTCAATATTTTATTAGGAAAATTATTATGCAAGCCTTAAGATATTGCTTAACATCAATTAACGAAATCTCGAGACTTATGCAATATTTTTCTGGCTAAAATATTGAGTTAGCCGTTTTTAAAAATCGGTTCAGATCGAGCCGTTTAACAACACTACTATTTTATATAAGAACTTTGCCTCGTATTTCTTTACAATCAAAGTTCTTTACAAAAATAATTAAAAATCTAAAAAGGAAACATAATATAAAGATTATTTCTAGGGATGTAAAAAAAATTTAAATATAAAAAACGGGGAAAAAACAAGGCAAATCATGCTTTCAAAATCATTTTAACAGAATGTGGCAAGATTAATTTTTTTAAAAAATTAACTCAATTTAACAAAAAAAATTTTATAACTTATATTTCTTTATACTTGATAGATAATATATAACTATATTCCAATCAAAGTTCATTATATTAAAATGGCAGTGGAATAATTACATTTTAAAATAGTATTTGAATTTTTTTGTTTCAAAAAATAAAATTCCTGGTCTCTTATTTTGTCTCCTATATTTTTTTAAAATTTTAAAGTTCTGCAAGACATATGTACAATGGAAGAGATAACGATTGGTAAAAACTAAAAAGACATAATTTGTTAATTTAGAATTTTCTCAGCTATATGAACCGGAATCGAATTAGCATTTTTGGAAAGTATGTGAAGTCCCAAATAAAGGATTTAATTGAAGTCCAAGATATTGAAGTTAAATCATTTAGCCTCAGGCTATCTATCATCTGATGATAAATTTGCCGACTCTATGGTATGTGAGCTCTTAAGATTATGGCTAAATAATTGAATTAATCATGGCATGCTTCGCCTGTCTGCTTTAACTATATACATATATACGGAATTAAGACCATGTATCCCTTTGAAATTATCATACATTTTACAATTTATGCATGGAAATGGTTAAACGATGTTAAATCCAATTCACTCGTAAAGGCAACTCTTAATTGTTCACCTAATAAGAGGTCCTAGGTTACAACTTGGTAAACAAGCATTCATGAACTTTTGGTAAATCAGCTTCGAGCACGGCCAAAGATACCCAGCAGTAAAGGCCGACTTTAAAAGGTTATTTTTGAGAGTGATAAAAGAAGATTGATTACTTTACGTTGTTCATCAAACGTGATGACAAAAATGAAGAAAGAGATATAAGGTATAATGGATATAAATCGTAAACTCCCATTTTGAAGATAATTATGAGAAACTCCAGTTAAAATCTCCAATTTACTATTTAAAAAATTTTTAATATATTTATAAAACCTTTATGAAAAAAATTAATAATTTCATAATTTAAAAAAGAAAGAAGAGGATTTAAAAAATGTGTATAATTTTTGGTAAAAATAAATATATTTTAGAAAAAAACCTAGGTGCGTATTATTTGTATTTGTGTAATATGTTTACATTTATTTTAACATATCTACTTTCTTAAAAATTTCTATATTACTAATAAGTAATAACTATATATGATTAACGAATTTGACTTAAGATCCAATATAGATAGTAGGTGGCAATATTTTGAACAAATGGTAGTCAAATATATCCTATTCAAAATTTACGAATATGAAAAACAAATCAAATATGAATAATAGTTTTAAAAAACTGATAAATAATAAATTAGTGATTTTCATTCTCATCATGGATGGAATAAAATATCTCCAAGCATTTGGGAGAATTTCAAACATATATAATAAATTATTCATTAAAATATTCAAAAATGGTAAATTTTATTTTTTCAAGTATTAAATAAATCTTGTACCACAAGATTTAATGAATGTGCCATTCACAATGAACCATAAAATTTTCATTATTAAGACAAGTTTGTAAAACTAATATCTTTCCACTAGCGCTAAAGAGTCTATCACAAAATTGGCATCCGCAATTTTTGATGTCTAAAGGATATCTAAGTAGATATATTTTTGGTTAAGATAAATAAATACTAAGAATTTGTTTCCCATATAAAATCCAAAAATTATTTTATTTATCTAATCCTCTTCCACATAATAAGACACGAAAGCGACTCTTTTATGGTGGATATATCAATGGTTTCATCAGCAATTCTGCAATGATCGAGTAGAATGCAGCAGATTTTATAAGGTTTCACAATTCTCCTTTGCAATAAGTAAGACATTATGGTGAAAATTTCATTAGTTATTATATCATGTGATATTCACTTGTAGTTACTGTATCAACATTCTTTTAATTCCAAATTATCCTCAGCTTAGCTTTAATAATTGCATAAAATTTAAGTTTTCATCATGTGCGATCTTGATGCCAACCCTTCTATTGCAAGATAATAATAGATGATATTATTTTAATCAATGCGGTGCTTGACTTTTTCATGGATTTGTTTTCGAAATGATTCCGTGATTTATTTTTTTTCCATGATTGGAAATTTTTCATGAATTATTTATAATAATTCATCTATTTTTTTTAAGGAGGCCGAGCAAGTGAGAAGAGGGGAAAGAGCATGGCAATATATAAATAATATAATATATGTTTTTTTCTTTATGTTTAATTTATAGATAAGATATAATAATTCATCAATTTTTATGTGGAGGGAAAGTCTCGATAGAAATTTGTCAATGGGAGCGAGAGCCATGCTGCCCCCATGAAGTCAGCGCCTATGGTAATTAGCTAAAAATCGATCACTTAATAAAATAAATAATTTACCACAAAGCGGTAGGGAACGATTGCCCCTAAATTCGACTTGCATTGTTTGCTTATTTTCGAATTCATTCATTTGATCTTTCGTCTTAACCAAGGCGCCATTGTATTGATCGTTTTTATTAACCGGGAGATTAGTTGAATCTAACAAGACCTATAAAAAAGGATAAATTTGCCAAAAGTGTTATATATATATATATGATTATTTATAAAAAAAATATATGAAATACGATTAAATTATAATAAATCCTAAACAATACGTGTTTGGAAATCGAAATTAGATTTATTTTTTCAAGGCATGCATAGCTTCTATTCCCAGGACATATTGCATATTTCTTGAAGGCTGATGGAGAAATTTTTTAGACTACTCAAATTAGAACCTAAATTTTTAAATATTCTGGACCAAACGCGGGCCTAAAATTTTATTAGAATTAGACCGAGTTCAGTGTTGAAAAATAAGACATATAAAGTGATGTATATTTATATACGTTATCATTTATTGTTTTATTATTTTATTAAATATAAAAGTATTTTATATTAACAATATCAAATATGAATGAATAATATATTAAATAATACAATTATTTAATTTAAAAGTAAAATATTTTTTTTAACAAACATTTTGTTTTCATAGTATATTCCAAGATGAAAATGAAGTAAAAAAAATCACAAAAACTAAAGTAACTCCTCTAGAAAAGAATATATACAAAAATTTACTAAAAATTATATAATTGAATAATAAGGCAAATTTAAATATTAATGAATGACAAGCCCAGAATGAAAAATAAACATTCCAGTCCGCTCTAGGACCGGATCGTTGACCTTAACTAGAGATAAGGACAAAGCAAATGGTGATTTTTACAAAAAAAGTTCAATTTATATTTTCTTTAATTAAAAATTTCGGGGCAGGCTCACGCCTAAAAATATTAAAAAATTGAATTTGTACCAACTCATATGTTCTTTGGTTATTAACCTATAAAGATATAGTCTACAATCATATTCGCACCACGCAGGGGCAAAGCGTATAATTCTTTTCCATGAGACCATAGGTTTGAATATACCATAATTAAATTAAAAATAAAGAAGTAGCTTAATAATGATAATCACTCAATACGAAATGCCATAAAAAAATGGCATAAAATATTTTGAATGGTAGAATAATGTAACATTTCCGAAATAGAGTAAAGAAAAAAAACCTGATCGGACAAGTAATTCAGATCAACCGCAGGAGTGCCTACGTCCGTTTCACGTGAGGTTGGTGGTGGTACGGGTGGTACCTCGTTGATAAATGATTCGGGATTGTCGTAAGCAAAGGCAAAGCTTGTGTTATTTTGGACGGCTAAAAGTTGACGCTTTTTGGAGTTAATGACATCGGCAGCTTTCATGATGTCCCGGTGATGACAGGTGTTGTGGTCATGGCGTGATTCGTGATGCCTTAAGAGAAAAGTGATGAGGGGGGGGGGTATACAGTTTAAAATAATATATGGGCTAAGAAACAATTAACGATGTATGAATTAATTATAATGATGGGTAATATATTATAAATCTTTCACAAAAAAAACAGAAGATTAAATTATATTATAATAATTACAGGGGCGTAGCCAAGAAGAGATAGGGACAAATTACCCCTCGTAGCAAAAAATGCAGATTATATTTAAAAAAAGGTTGTATTCTATTTTAAAAAATTTCTAAACCAAATAATAGTTACAGAAATTATAACTAATCTGATGCACCTATGATTGCAAATAAAACTATTGTCGAACAAAATAATCAATCTGAAAAGGTGAATAAAGAAAAATTAAGTCTTTAGGATCATGAGGTTAGTTATTATTATATTTCAATATTAATTAGAACTACAATGATCCGCAATTATTTTACCGATCTGATATTTATCCTAAACGGCCCCGATACCGATATTTATGTTGATTTTTTGTCATTATTTTATGCTGGCTGGGGAATCAAATTTTCAGGACATATAATAAGGTAAAATTCGTTCAGTTATTTAGGTCAAAATTATGATCCTTAGTTAAATTTAAAGTTAAACTAAAGGAAGAAAAATGTAAGTGAATTGTTCTTCAAGGCACGTCCGGTACTGTTAGAGTGGAAAAGTAAAAATGATGAAACTTTAAATAAATTAGTCACCTATAGTCCCTACCTTAAAAAACGGATAAGACTATTAGAATCTGTGGGAATTTACGAAAAACGATAAACAATGAATCTTTAACTGAACAATATATCCTATCAAGAATTGATGAAACATTGGCAGCCATTGGAGGAGGAGCACATTTTACAACTGTCGATTTATATACCTACCATGAAATTGAATTGGACGTAGACTCCAAGACATATGTGGTGATCAATATCCCGAATGGATTATATAGGTATAATAGACTACCATTTGGAATTGCTTTAGTCTAGCTATATTTCAAAGTGCCATAGATTCCCCACTAAAAGGTCTACTAGGGACAGCAGTTTACTTGAATGATATAATAGTAAGTGGGTTAACAGTAAAGGAGCATGAAAACAATTTGCACAAGGTATTTAAAATATTAAGAGAAACGAAATGTAATTTTTTTGCGGAAGATATCGAATATTTAGGGTATAAAATTAATAAAAAGAGTAAATCGCTGACTAAAAAACATTTAGATGCAATAACGAAAGCACCGACAATAAAATAAAAAGGAGGTTCAGAGTTTTAATAATTATTACCATAAATATATACCAAATTATTCAACAATAGACACACCACTATATAATTTGTTACATAAAAATAAAGAATGGAAATGGGAATTAGAACAAGAGGAAGCGATGAAGTTGCTAAAAAACATAATCATACAGACAACGATATTGGTACACTATAATCTAAAGATATACATCACGTTAGCAACGGATGCTTCAAATTAATGAATCGGTGCAATATATTATCTCATTCTATTTCATCGGATAGTGATAAACCTATTGTGTTCGCATCAAGAACGTTATCGGCTGCTGAAAAAACTATGATCAGGTGGGAAAAGAGAATTGTGACTTATAACGACCGCCATTTCAGGAAATTTTTTTTAAAGAATTTAATGTAAAATACACCAAACATATTTTAATATCGCCATATCACCCAAGATCCAAGGAGGAAGCGGAGAGATTTGTACAAACGTTCAAAAATTTTCTTAAAAAAACTGGATAAATTTCTAGTTGCTTTAGAAATACTCCGCGTAAATCACAAAATCTTCACCCGCATCACATAAGCTAAGATTTGTACCACAAGGCCCGTTTAATAAATTTAAACTACAATATAATGAGAAGGAAGAAGATAAAACATTTTGTAAAATTATCTTTATCAATTAAAAATAAATTTAAATTCCATATATCTGACATAAAAATTAAAATGCTTTAAAAATAATATATTATAATAATTCAAAGTTATACAAAAGCTAATAATTTAAATTCATATTTTTTATTTACTATATTTTTCTTAAAAAAAACAATGGAATGAACAATAGACAAATAAAAAAATTCTGGGTAATTTTCTTTTTATTCACATTTTATAGGAGTTATGAAGATTTATTATGAGAATGGGATATCACATTTACAATATTTCATCCCATTCAAGTTAGTTAAAAAAATTAATTAAAAATGTGTATAAAAATAAAAATAAGAGGTTTGACTAAACTGCAAATTCTTGGGTAAAATTTTTTATATATATACTCTATTAATTGAGTTGAGAATCATTTTCTTATGATATAAACAAGTTATAAAAAATAAATTACTATGTATATTCAATAATAGTAATATAATTATATTTCATTTTAATCTATTAATAGATGATTAAAATATACAAATCGATAATATTCAATCCGCAAAAAAATGTATATCGGCCGATCTGGTATTTTTTAACGTTCAATATCGGCGCCGATCCGATAGTAATATCGGTGCAGCCCTTATATTAATTATAATTATTACTCTTGGATATTTTATCCAATGGCCCATGATGATATAAAATTAAAATATATTATAATATTTCAATGACTGCATTTTCCATTTTTTTTGTTTTATTAAAATTTTATAATTTTTAGAATTTATACTAAGTTCACAATAATTTTTTAGACAATAATCTCTCCTTAAGAGAGAAAATCCTACTTCTTAAAAAGCTAGGCATAAAAGTAATTTTTTTCATTTTAAGTTATTATTATTTTTTTAAAAAACTTGAATAAAAAAGAAAATTAATTTTTATTATAACAACACTAATTGGATTTTAGAAACAAAATACATGAAATTCTTTAATTTAAAAATAATTTTATCTTCAAAACTATATTCATAGATTTATATTCCCAAAATTCATGTGGTTATAGAATGCAAATGATTATGGATTGTTTATTCTGTGAGACATAGTGGGACTTACTGTAAAATATGTTTTGTTTGCTCCAAAATATGCCAGGAAAAAATCAAATTAAATTTAAAACCCTAGTTACTCAACTATTTCGTAAATATAGGAAATCCATTGAATTATTATTATAAATACACAATATAATAAGAATTCCCATTGAAAGAGGTGGTGTTATTTCTATATTATTGCATATAGATAAAAATAGAATCAAATTAGCTAAAGAATAAAATTTATTACTGAGGCAATTATTTATTTTGGAGTGCAGGACCTATCATTGCGTAGTCATTTTGACTCTGGACTATTGAATATAAATACTAAATAATGATGGTAATTTTTGAGCATTAGTTCTAATAAATTATCAAGTTCCAAATCTTTTTATCAATATTTAAAAAACCCACCCTCCCCATAGTAAATTCTCTGGCTACGCACTAGAATATTTATTATATAAAAGATAACATAAGTTATATAAAAATGTAAATTTTAATTGAAGAAAAATTATAATATAAATAACTCAAACATTTGCGATTGGCAGAGTCAACCATTTTATGAAAAAATAAGGTTCAAAATGTCCAAAAGCCTTCAAACAAACTTCTATAAGCAATGGATGACATTTTACTGAAGAGGCTTAGTGAATGAAAATAGGCATTTAATTTCAAGCCTTAATCAAAGAACATTCGTAATAAATTTTACATGATCATTTCAATAAGCTGCAATAAAATATTGCATGCGAATTATTATTTGTTTCTATAAGGTTTCATAACAATATATATATATATGAAAGGTTTCATTTGTCTTTAATTTCCAAGATCAAAAGCTTCTATTATTAAACCTTCAAAAGCGAAAAGAAAGATTAGCATGAGAGATAATGCAACACATTATTTTCAGTGATGAATCAAGATTTGCTTTGGAATATGAGATGTTTTGATCACACAAAAAAACGAAGCCTCAATTCGAATTGTCTTAAAGAGTAGTTAAATTCTCCGCAAATGGTGTGGGGTTATATGGTTGGAAAAGGCTTAGCTGTGTAGTCAATGAAATTTCACTTTTTAAATAATCGAAGCGTGGTTTCCACCCGGGGAATTAATTTTTCAAAAGATAATGCTTCATACCATTCATTCAAGTAAATTTAAAAATTTCTATTAAATAATAATAGTAACTGAATGGCCTTAAGCAAAGTGGCAATGAAATATAATAGAAGAATTGAAGATAAATTTCTATCTTGGTTCAATCTCCATTCACTAAAAGAGATTTTAATATAGTTCGAAACGTTTATTTTCATTTAATTTAATCTATAGCAATAATAATTATACATATTTTATAGCTTATATCTTTTATAAATCATAAATAATTTAAAGGAAGTTTTTTATAGCGTATATGTCAAATTTAAATGATGTCTTAGACATAATTAATTTTTAAAATCTTTGACCTGCATAATAATTTAACGAACTATTTAACTTTGAATAGTATATATTTTTTAAAATTGCATTTTATACATTTTACATTTATAATAAATAGTTATAAAAATAAGAATTACTTTTCACACATATTTTGTTGTAATGGGAAAATAATTATTATTGATTTAATTTTAAAAAAAGTTAGATAATTATAAATAAATGGTCGTAAATTAAAAAATTTTGCATGTTTATCAATATTAAAAAGAATCTAATTATACGAAAAATAATTATAAAAATTTTTAAAAAAACTTCGCACCTATGTTCAACGCGTTCGACGATTTCTTTAGAAGGGGCACACTTATGGCGTTCACTATGACAAGAAGAATTGCTGTCGGAAAGATCGGATGAGATTTGAGGTAGCACGATGGCGGATGAGGATTTTATGTTTTCATGGCTACTTTTGAGGCAGAGGCGGAGTAAGACGGGTGTATCATCGCTCATGGAACTTTTATCTATAGCGGAAAATTCGAGGGGCAAAGAAGGGCTAGATCGGGAAGGAAGCGTAACAACAGAGCTCTTCCCGGGAGGTGAGGAAGAGGGAATGGGTGCTAAGGATTTTTTGTCTGAGAACCCTCCGGTTAAGTTCTTGTCTCTGGAAGAAGATAATGAGGAGGTAAATGGTTCATCCCGAGCTTTGACGTTGCAATCACTACGGATAAGGTCGAGATGGTTGTCGTGCTTCTCCAGATAATGATGCGGGCATAGACGGATTTCTTTATTACCTCGTTGAGGATTTGTATTAGTGGGATAACGTGTTTTTTTCCCGGTTAAAACAGAAACAAGTCGTGCCGTCCAAGCAGAAATGTTGGGGCCAACGCGACGATTGCGGTTATGTTCATGAAGGCCGACTTGACTACCGCCGTCATCGTCATCATCAGCTGCTCCTCGAGAAATGAATTTAACAGTGTCGAGTGTTGGAGGATCAGGAGTGCCGTTCAACACGATGGGCATGCGAATTTTGAGAGAGTTGGTGGAGGCTGTGCCATCATTAACACCTGCTGCCACAGAAGTTTTAGAGATGGATACTGGTTTAAGGGATGCGAAGGCTGAGACGGGTATAATAAGGTGGGCGTGACCACCATGGGAGTGACCTTGACCATGATGATGGTGGCGAGACAAAGTGGGATCATCAGATTTATGGTTGTTTCTGGAGTCTGTGCGCTCTTGAAGCCATCTAAGGAGCAGCTCCATTATGTGAAATACAAAAATGGTCGCGAGCACGACAAGGAGCTTCCACACGAAATCCTGACTGGCAGGGTGGTGGTGATGGTCATCGCCCAAAAGCTTCTCCGCCAACCTACCAGAGGGCGTAGTCGAGGCGGATGCAGAAACCGAGTTATTTGAGATGAGGGAAGACAAATGAGAGTGAGTGTCGTGACTATTATGCTCGTGAAGACCTAGAGCCTGAATTGATGGTAAAATATTTTTAAAAAATGGATACAAAATTAATTGAATTGAAATATGCGTTAAGAAGGAAAAAAAATTAACAATACTATATATATATTCTCTTTCATTTTTTTGTTGAGTAATAACTAATCACCTTTTAATCATTATACAATTACATTTCTTAGCGGAAATTTTAGGAAATACATTCTTTTCTTGAGGATTCAAAAAAATAATATAACGATATTAATTATTATACTTGTGGAATTAGATGCAGAAAGGCGTCACCAGACATAGTTCCAATGGCCAACGCTATGAGACCCAGAATCAGGTAAGAGTAATACGTTTTAGAGAGGAAGGGAACTAGGACAACACCCAGCAAGGACAAAAGGCTTATGAGCAAAACGGCCACCGTTCCATATCCATAACCTAAATGAATAGATTTCATATCAACAAGATAGTGTGATAGATGAAATATTAAATAGATCACATGTTTCACGGCCTAATATTCGAGGTGAAATACGTTATTATAATAACTCTCTTGGAATTTTTAGGTAAAATTTGATCAAAAATCTCTCTCCAAAAAAAATCTTCAACGATTTTTGCTCAATTATGAGAAAGTATAAGAATTAGGATAAATTATAAAATAACGACCGAAAAGAATTAATATAGTATTGTTAAAATAATTTAAATGGAAACCAGCCAATTGGAGATCTAAAACGGGTTTGGGTGGGCATTTCTTTTAAAGGAGCTGGGAGGGGGGGGGGGGGGGGGGTAGGCCTATAGGCATATCGTTAAATTTATTTTTGAACCACGGACCTAGCCAGAGTTGGATAACCCTGAGAGTCACCTTTATATTAAAAAAAAAATACTCAAACAATTCAAGTGATTTTGAATGCAAACAGAAAATTGATAGAAGGAAAATAGCTAATATTTGCAAAAATAAATAAGTAATCATGGTTAACTTTGAGCGAGATTCGGAGGCGGTAAAATTTCCAAAGACATGCTTGATTTTTGGGGGAATTATGTTTATCTTCAGATATCTTTGAATGGGATTTTCTTTTTCTTCAAAATTTTTCAAATTTAAGTTTAGCCCTTTTCGAATCTAAATGATTTTAAAAATAACATATAAAATTAGAACTAATTTCATGGAAAATAACGATTAAAATTTCTAAAAAATAATAAACTTCGAATAATTATATTTACTTCCTGATCTAAAAACTTTTTTTTAAATAAAATTTTTCTAATTTATTCAACTCGAATCATGGAAAATAATTCCCCTATTAATTCTTTTAAAAAATTATCTAAAATAACCCTCCTCCCTCTCAAAAAAAGGAAAATAATTTTGGGCTTGTCATTCAAACTTACTCAGTCAATATTGATATTCATTAAATATATAAGTAAAAAAAAGAATTTATTGAAAAGAAGCAAGGAGGGAAATAATTAGTGTTTTAATAAAATGTATAAGGAACTAATCGTAAAAAAAAATAATATTGATGACCGTAAAAACGGCGCGGTAACATACGAAATAGTTTTACAGCTTGATGTGTAAATAAATTTGAATATTATGTGTTTATATATAAAAGAGACCTGCAGGCCCGGCCAAGGTACAGGGGCATATTTTTTATATAAAAAATACTAAAAATCTATAAGTAGTGTTGTTAAACGGCTCGTTTTGAGCCGATTTTTAAAAACGGCTAACTCAATATTTCTTCCAGAAAAATATTACGCAAGCCTAAAGGATTTGCTCATAGGAAGAATAAAGGTCCAGACATATATTATAGAAATCTCGAGGCTTAAACAATCTTTTTCTGGCTAAAATATTGAGTTAGCCTTCTTAAAAAATCGGCTCAAAATGAGCCTTTTAACAACACTATCTATAAGCAAATCAGAGAGATCTGCAAAGGTAAAAATTTTAGACATGCATTCGAAAAAAAATATTCATTTTCAAGCCCTGAATTTTTTTAACGTGATTTTAAATTTCGATATTTGGAATAATTTTGGTTATTTTTGGCGAATTGTTTCAAAGGAAAATTGAAAACATGACCAATAAAAAAATTAGGGCTGCTGATATAAAAAATTTTAATCTGATATCGTCCTATATTTCTACAACCCATATGATAACCTATACCGATCCGGTATATAGATTGATTTTTACACTTACCATCTATCGTTGTTTAAAGAATCGATTTAGTTGATTTTTAAAAACGACTAAATCAAGATTTATTTTGACCAAAATAGTGTTATCTATGCCTCGAAATTTTGCTAATAGATGTCCAAATCTTTCTGCATCTGTGTAGGCAAAATGTTCAAGCTTGGCTAATTTACTATTGGCTAAAGTCTTAAGTTAGCCGTTTTAAAATATTGTCTAAATCGACGGGTTTAACAATACAAACGGAATAACTCTTTAGATATTTCATAATCCTTTTCTTGATGTATATAATTTGACAAAAATTAATATGACATTTTTAGTTATTTCATATTTTAAAATAATTTTTACAAATGAATTTTGGTTACTTTTTATTAATTTATTATTATTATTATGGAATTCTGTATAAAATAAAAAAATATTATATAATTAAAATTATTAGAGGTGTACCGATACCACTTTTTGGAGGCCGATTTGATATTACTAATATTAAATTGATATCGGCCGATTACAGATCAGATATCATATCTGATTTTGTATTCTGTAAATACTAATCGTTTTAATTTTTAATGCATACATTACATCTACTCATCTCATATACTTTGTAATAGTATAACATTTATAATTTAACTATATTATAATAGAAGTCATTGATATCGGCCGATTACCGATCAGATATCATATCTGATTTTGTATTCTGTAAATACTAATCGTTTTAATTTTTAATGCATACATTACATCTACTCATCTCATATACTTTGTAATAGTATAACATTTATAATTTAACTATATTATAATACAAGTCATTTAAATATATAATTGTGAACAGTTATAGTTTATATTCATGAATCTAAAATATATTATAGTGATCAGTTATTCATGAATCTAAAAACATTATCTATTTACAGAATAAGTAATAGACAAATGAAATAAATTTTTTTTAATTAAGACGCCATTTTATTGGAATGGAAAGTTTTATAATAACGGTCGATAACCGAAATTTTAAAAAAGGTGAAACATCGGCGCTATCCGATCGTGCATCCCTAGAATTATATATAAAATCATAAAATACCCAAACAAATAAATATCGGATCGGTTTTTTATAGTAAATATCAGCCTAATTTGAAATTCAAAAATCAGCCCAGGTACGATCCTTAACCCTTCAATACTCCTAAAAAACAATAACATAACTGCTCCAGACGCGTTTAATAAACCCCAATTTCAAATGAATATATCTTAATTTATATTTTTAGGTAAAATTAAACTAACCATTATAAACCCCAATGGAGTATTGAAGGAGTAATATAAGTACAGCCCTAAAATATATATAAAATATATATTAAACCATTTTTCAATATATGATTTTACATTAATTAAAAAAATTTAGGTTGATCTGATTTTTTCTTTAAATTGAACCAGGAATTTGTTAACATTTTTAAGCCAGGTCGAATTTTTAAAAATCATTTCAGAGAAAATGAGATTTTTAAATAAAAATCGCTTACAAATTTACCAACAATGTTAAAAAATAAAGCAATAAATGTAATGCCTTAGCCAATATATATTTTGTTTTTTAAATAAAATTTAGCAGAAAATATAAAATACAAACTTTCGAATCTAAGACTTCTAATTCCTTAGAAATATTATATAATCAAATATTTTAAAATTCAACTATTGTTACCTTTTTTAGGAACACAATTATGTTTTGCTTAAATTTTTTTGTTTATTATTTTTGATTAATATGGTTGAAGAGAATCTCTAAAAATAAAATTATCATAATTCTTAACCAATCGGTATATTGCATTGCAAACATAAAAATTTAAAAAAATGACTCAAAGGTTCGTGGTAAAAATTCACTGTATTTTAAATTATTTATCTTGATCGTGTAATTTTAAAATTCTTAATATTCTAATTGCCGGAAATGTATTCCAGTATGTGCGGAATAGCTATCCTTCATTCGCACATTTATTTTGAAAATATATAAGCGTATTGTCTGATTTTTATCAAAATTACCCAGATTAAGAGTTTTTAGCCAAAAAATTATGGGTTTTACCTGAGTATTGTATCATGAACCAGATTATCCAATTTAAGAATATAATTAGCTAATTAAATTGTTATAAACAGTTGGGCAAAATCGGAATTAGGTTGAACCTAATATGCGCACGTCAAAGAATATCCACTAAGCGTTGAGACTGGAGTAATTCATTTCAGCCTTCTTTATATTTTCAAAAAATATCCGAGTTTGAGGTGAATAAAAAATTAGGTTTAACTGTTTTTAGCTAGTTAAAGGAGCTAAAAATTAGTGATCTGCAAGGCCCGACCCAATTCATCCCTGGGATCCGAATTTATTTTGATCTTAGGTGAGTCTATTTTTTGAAAATTTTGGTTTGGACTAAGATACATTTTTTTACGGGCCGGACCTAATGACATTTAAGCCCGATGCAGATCTCTACTAAAAATTCAGCATTATTCAACTATAATTATAAACAAAAAATTATTCCTAAAAAATTAAAATCAGCCTAGTCCAATCAATCAAATTGGCATCGCCAAATGTTCTTATTGTTTAATAACCAAAATCTAATTCGCGACAGACTCACATGTTGGGGAGTAAATTTTAAAGGAAAAAGACTTTAAAATATATATTATATTAATATTCCAATACTAAAGAAAAGGTAAATATTTTAAAACTGATTACCTTTTATATAAAAAAAATTAATGCCCCGCCATCGAAAATATTAGATTTCATAACCTGAAACCAAAAAAGGTAAAAAATATTTCGAAAATTCAAGATTAAAATTATATATATTTTTTTAAAAAATAGAAAGAAAATGATATGGCAAATATAGATTTAAAATAATCTTTCATAAATAAATTAAATAGTATATTTTTGCGACTAGCTGTGATAAAATTCGTTTTTCTAAAAAAAATCATTTTTAAAGTGAAATATTTAATTTTTTTTATATTTACGTCCACTCAATTTAAAATTTATTTTTTTTAAAAATAAGGATTTCATTTTTTTGCTCAGCTGTTTCCTTCAAAAAATAATTTTGGCACAATTTCCTTTCCGACTATGGTCTAATATTTTATTTTAAAAATTAGATAGATATATTTTATATCTCGGACTCGGATAATATATCTCTTCCATGGCCTAATTACAATAAATACTTCAATTTAAAATAAATATAGAAATAAATATTAAAACATTTGTGTAATTATTGTCATCCAATAGTGGATCGGGTTAATAGATTAGATTGATACGTTATCTTATCGTTATCAAATTGATTATTTATATTTAATATTTTTAGATTTAACCATAAATATATATTGCTAGGGCTTTTACAGAGTGAAATAAATATAAATAAACCAATATCATATTTAAAAATCGACAGAAAACTAAGAAATACCATTCTTTTCTGAATTTTTTGACGAAGAATTATACCATCATCAGCTCCGGTGGCATGCGCTTTAAAGAAAATTCGGAATTTATTACAAAACGTTCTTGCTTATCGAACAAAAAATTTCAAAACCGCTTCCCAATGAAAAATAATAAAAATAACAATATCATATTTTATATCTTACATATATTTTTTTCAGAGACCTGCAGGCCCGGTCGTACCGGCCCATTATATCCGGGTCGAGCCTAAGGAATATTTTTTTAAATACCCGGGCCGTGCCTTATATTTTAAGCAATAAAAATAAATATAATATATTTAAAAAATATCCAGGCCGAATCATAAAGCCGGACCGGGCCGAATTTTTTAAAAAACTGGGCCGTGTTAATGGTACCTCTGCAGGTATCTGATATTTTTTATAAGAAACAATATAAATTATATACGTTATTTGGGGATAGGCAAGTAAATTTAAATATTACTATTTAGGGTTTACGTTAGTTAGGTTAAAAAAAATATGACGGTTAAATTAGTTTGTGGCGTAAAAATATAACTTTCACTTCTAGTTACAATTTACTTTAAAAAAATGTAAGGATTGGTAATGGTTCTTAGTTACTAAACTTCTAAAAAAAATAAGAATATTTAGTGAAACGAAATGATAAAAGCTAATACGAGATAAGCATACAAAAACTTTACCATAAGAACAATAAATTTATCTAATGAAAAAAATATGAAAGATATAATGTGGTTTATAATAAAATAACTCATTTTTCAAATAGATCATGGTTTAATCTTTTTCAGTTTGGTCTAGAAATTAATCATAGAAAGAGAGGGAAAATGTTTACCAGGAGAGTAATATGATAAATTTATATACCAGATAAAAATTTTCATTCGTAGTTCGATTAAGTGAAAAATTAATTATAAATGAGTGAAGATATTATATAAATATTTTGTATCCTTATTCATAATAATGTTGGAAGCGGATTATAGATTTTAGGAAGGGAATAGTCTTTGGGGTCCGAAGATCTGTTATCTTCCTTATTTCCAGTATTCTTATTTATTTATATTATAAAAGTAGTTTTTATTATATCGATTAAATATGGTATTTTTTCTTCCCAAATTAAATGGATTTTATTTTAAAATAGGGTTAAAAAATCACGATTATAATGATAAAGTAATACTAATTCATCCAATTTTTCAAAATATGTAAATTTATTGATACATATATAAATTATGTCCCAGTTTGACTTATAGCTAAACAGCCGGCTGTTAATCTGGCTATATAGCTTCGACTAAACAGCTGAAAAAGTAAAACGAAAAATACACAACAAAATACGAAAAATAAGAATGACACCAAAAACTTCAAACAAACGAAAATAGGGTGTCCTAGTTCAAAAACTGCCTAGCCCATACCAGGTCACACTCTTAAGGCTAATGCATTACATTTTTATATATTTATAGTTTGAGCAATTTAGTTTAGTAATAGTAACTTTTGCCCATCCATGATTACATAAAATTATCCCCGATAAAACAGCACATTTTTATTTAGTTTAGAGACCCTATTTTATGTCTTTATTTCAATCATATTTTTTTGTAACTTTGCAATCCGATAAATGTGAATCCAAAATTTATGCTTAGCAAAATTTTTTTATGAAAACATAAAATTCAAAAATTGTTTGAATAAGTATTGACAAAAACTAATAACTTCTCCATTGAAAATTACAAAGAACTCTCATTTCCAAATTGTGTATCTCCATTGTCATGCGCAGTTTTGGGGGGTCAGGGCCACATAAGGTTAAATAATCAGATGCACGAAAATTTTCAATAGTTACAGTTACAGGTGTTGATTGCCTTTTTACTGCAAAATTTAACAACCAGCAAAAAATATATCCGTAGAAATATCTGCTACTCGAATTCAATTCGTGTTGATAATAATTTATTTTTCATTTTTTTAAATAAAAATATTAAAAAAAGCTATTTCTCATACTTTAAAAAATTTAAAGGGATATTCCTAAATAATATTTTTATTCAGTAAAAAATTATCAAAGAGTTGAATAAAAATTATTGTAATAAAGTGAAGAAAGTACCAAAAAAAATCATTTTTTATTTAAATATTTTGAGCCGGTGTAGTATTGTAAAAACAATACCATCTAAATTCAATACGGTATTGATTCTACAATATTGTAAAATCAATACCGTATTGATAATTTATGACCGAACCTCAACTTTTAAGAATAAAACCTAAAATTTATGAATGAAATCGGTACTTAAATTAATAATTATATTTATATCAAGCAATAACAATTAAATATCAAAATAGGAGAATATAAGTAACAGAAAAATATCATTTGCTGCCAATACTTAGTGACAGAAAATATCCTTCTTTTACTGCTTTAAAATATCACAAATTTTTTATATCAAGCTAGTACAGATAAATATCAAAAATATTCTTTATTGCTAATACTTATAACAGGAAAATATTTTTCTTTATTGCTTTAAAATATCACAAAATTTTTAATGAATCAAATTGGTACATTTAAATTTATAATTATATTTATATCAATTGCTGCCAATACTTGCTTTAAAATATCACCTAATTTTTAATGAATCAAATTGGTACATTTAATTTATAATTATATTTATATCAAGCAATAACAATTAAATATCAAACAATAAGAGAATATAAGTAACAGAAAAATATCATTTGCTGCCAATACTTAGTGACAGAAAATATCCTTCCTTTACTGCTTTAAAATATCACAATTTTTTAATGATCAAATTGGTACATTTAATTTATAATTATAATTTTATATCAAGCAGGAACAAATAAATATCTAAAATATCCTTTATTGCTAATACTTATAACAGGAAAATATTCTAATGCTTTAAAATATCACAAAATTTTTAATGAATCAAATTGGTACATTTATATTTATAATTATAAATTTAAATCAAGCAATAACAGATAAATATCAAACAATAAAAGAATATCTAGTAACAGGAAAATAATTCAGGTAAAAAAAAAGTAATTTTAGATGTACGGCAAACAATTTTATTGTTAAAGAAGATATTCTTTATAGAAAAATAAAGAATAAAGAAGGTAAATGTGATCACAAAATAATAATTTCTATTTATTTATTAGCTTTAGTATTAATGGATGAAGCAGAGAAACAAAGGGTAATATCTGTTATTCACCAAGGATCAGATATATCCTAGAATCTAAAGCTATTGGTTCCCACCTAAGCATTAATAAAACTCAACTTAAACTCTCTGAAAGGTATTTATTATGGTGTTAATTTGTTAATTTTGTGTTTATAGATATTGGTGGCCAAAATTATTTCAAGACACTATTGATTTTATAAAATCATGTGATAGATGTCAGAAGGCCAATACAAGATTTTCCAAAATTTCTTCTACTTGAATCCAATAGATATACCACCTCTTCCATGGGCTCAAATAGGAATTGATCTTTGCAGCCTGCCCACTTCAGAAGAAGGCTACACATGTATTGCAGTTGCCTCTGATTATTTCAATTGGTTGAGGCAGAACCTATGAAATCAAAGACAGCTGAAGAGACTTGTAAATTTATCTATGGTCTGATTTGCCGCCATGGCTACGCAACTGCAAATAGATACAAATCAATGATCAAGGTCGAGAGTTTGTGAATGAAATGGTCACTATATAAAATGACAGGGACGGAGCAACGTATGCAGTGCATATCATCCTCAAGCTAATGGTTTAACAGAAAGGAATAATCGTACTATTCAAAACTTAATGTTAAAGGTTTTGAGTGATGATCAAACACTATGGCCTAGGGTTCTTCCGG